AAAAAGTCTTTTAAAGTTTGCAAAAGTCTTCTAAAAGTTTCTAAAAGTCTTTTAAAGTCTTCTAAAAGTTTTTAGAATGTTTTTTCTTGCATTTGAAAGTTTTTAAAAGTCTGTAAACGTCTTTAGAAGCCAACTCTGTCGAAAAAGCCCTGTGGATCTAAACCTTGTGGTTCTGGTTCGGTGCAAAAGGGCAATGAACTTAGGGGACTTATAACCCCAGTTATAACCTACTTACTAAGTCCCGTGGTCCTCTAGGTAGGGCTCCCTGATAAGGTAGTGCGGCTTGCGTCGCTAGGAGCTAGCTTTAGCGGTTTCGGGGATTAAGGGTTTAGGGGATTAAGGGTTTAGGGGTTTAGGGGATTAAGGGTTTAGGCGTTTAGGGGATTAAGGGTTTAGGGTTTAGGGTTCAGAAGAATTTGTGGCAGCGCTGGTCAAGACTTGCAAGAATGCCTGGCAGAATTTGCTTCTCCAGCCGCAGCAGGGTTGTTCGAGCCATTTGCCTGGCCCAAGCGTCGATCACAGCCACACCGATGGGCGTGACTGTCGAGCCGGCAGGAACAAAGTTTCTTGCAACAATTAGGGCTTGCATGTGGAGTTTATAGCTTTTGGGTAGCATCCACGAGGTTTGAAAAGCCTTGGAAAGGTCTATCCGGGGATCTGCAAGCGGATTCTTGTGAAACGAGAAGCAGAATCTAACAGTATTAAATCAATTCATATGCCCTGGGCAGGAGCGACGAAGCAAGAAACCTTGAGCCCCTTGACACAAAAGCACCCAGACCCAAACACCCCACAGCACAAACTCTTGCCACAAGTCTTCCAAAACCCCGTCCAATCAAACAACTGTGAGTTCATTTCTTTGAAAATATCATGAAGCCCGCTTAAACGAACGGAACACAACACTTAACTAAGTACTTACATGGAGAAGACACAGAGCCCAATAAGAGTGCCTTATCGGAACACATAAAAGCCACTTTCTGATATACAAGTACTTAAGATCAAACCCTAAGTCCTAAACCAAGCCTGAACTCTACCACCCAATTCCCTAAATCCCAAAGCTCTAGGCCTAAACTCTAAACCCTCTTGAAGCCTCTCACGCAACCTAAGCACTAAACCCAAACCAAACCTAAAACCCTGAAACCCTAAACTCTAAAACCTGGACCTGGACCCTAAGGCCGAAAAACCTAAACTCCAAAACCCCACAACAATCCCCGGGCCACGCGAACAATGAGAACTCGTGCAAAGGATTGCTTATGATGGCAGGCCAGAAGGGGGGTTTAAGATTCTTGGGGTAGGGATTCCTTAATATGAACCCTATTATGGGAACCCTAATCCCTACTAAACCCCCATAGGCTAAAGCCCCTTTTGGCCTCCTATGAGCTTATTACAAGTAGAGTAGGATCTACAGCAGATCCTTGTTCCAATCATTGAGACCCGCGTACGAAACCTTTGTACACACGTCTACGAGTCTGGAAACGCTAAGAAACTCACAATAGATTATCCAAGGCCCCTATACCAAGCCCTTACACAATCCTATCACTCCAAACCCTAAACCTGCAAAACCAACTCTAAATCCCAAACCCTAAATCTTAAAATCTAATCCCTAAAGGGACCCTTCAACCCTTGAAGGCTTTCCTTTGAAGGAGGCCCGAACCCCCCAACCCCTAAATCCTAAACCCTGAACCCCTGGTTTCCGGGTCCTTTTGGGCCTTCATAGGAGCCCCTAAATGAACACTTAGGGGATCCCTTAAAAGAACCCTTAAAGGCATCCTTACTTAAAGGCTCATGGGACTTAGTATGTAAGGTTATAAGTAGGTTATAATTAGGATAACCCCACTTAGGGGACTTATAACCCCAGTTATAACCTACTTACTAAGTCCCATGATCCTCTAAGTAAAGGGACCCTGGACCCCCCCCCTAAAACCCACCCCTCGGGGGTCCTTTGGCCTTCCAGCTTCGCTTTCCGCTTTCCGGATTTGCGCGACGACGAAGCCTGGCATGGCCCATCTGAAGCTTCGAAAAGACTCCAATATCCCTAATATCCCTCGATTACCCTAAGGGTGCAGGTATCTCCTTAGGAGGGTCCGGAATAGTCCTTGGGTCTCTTTGGGGTCTCAGAAACCCCCAATTTTGAGGTTCCCCAATTTGTTAGGACCTAGGGTAAGGAATATTCCTTACATCATTTTTGGGTATCCTACTATAACTTAAGGTACATTCCTTAATTCAGGGATATTGGAGTCTCTGGGTTCGAAAGGATGACAGGGCTCCTTCACGGTTCTATGAGGGGGAGTTTAGGTTACTTCAAGGATCATGGGCCTTAGGAAGTAGCTTTGGGGATATAAGTCCCCTGAGCGGGGTTGTCCTAATTATAATCTACTTATCACCTTACTTACTAAGTCCCATGAGCCTTCAAGTAGGCCCTATTGCTATTAATCTATAAGGGGTTCTCCAAGGGTGCTTCTCGCCTAGTGGCATAAGGCTCATTCTATGAGGGCTCTATAAGGGTAGTTTTGGGGGTTTTATTGGCTGTAGGCCTCCAGGGCTTAGGGCTGAGGGTTCAGAGGTCCTCAAATAGCCCACGGAAAGAACGGTTTAGGGTAGTTTAGGGTTTAGGGTCCGGAAAACCCTGCACCCTGAACAGTGTTTGGGGGTCAAGGGGTTGACCCGAAGAAACACAAGCCATACTACCGGGACCTGCGCAATAAGAAAAGGGTGTTGAAATACAAATACATTATAGTGGACTTGCACGGGGACTATAGATGCCATTGGCATAGTGTTAGTGAGTCAAACCTCCACAAAATATCCCAAAGCCTTACATGACAAGTCTGTTTCGACGATCCTCACAAAGCACATGCCAGAGGCACCACTCGGCGACCTGCAATCGTCTGGGAAGGAGATCTTCATGACCTTTTGTACCTGATTGAAGGTATAACTTCTTGTAGGTTGGTGCCTAAACCATAGAGTGAAGCCCTCGAAGTTTGAACATGAATGTGGGATGAACAGTGCTAGGATTCCCCATGCTTGCTCTCAAACGCATGAGGATAATTCCAGGATAATGGTGTTTCAATTTTTTGGTTCTACCAAAAACCCTAAGCCCTGAACCCTAAACACTAGACCCTAAAACCTGAAACCCAGACCCTAAACCCGAAACCCGCAGTGAAGCAGGACAGGTCCAGGGTTTGACCGTGCAAGCCCTGCTGATTTCGAGGATTTGCGGCTTAGGGTTCAGAGTTCCTGAACCAATTTCCTACACCTATCAACCCTCAGCCCTAAAGCCGAATCTACCTGAGCATAGTGGAAGTACGTCCCAAAACCCTCAACCTTAGACAAGATGGTGTCTACTCGAGGACCCGTGACCGAGTACGCTGTCAGCGTACTGAAAATAGATCCGAAGCCTTACCCGAGCACTCCAAAGAAGTTCCTTTTTGGAGTTCATATATAGAATCCTGCAAGGTACTCCCAAAAAGGAACTACTATGGGGCCTCTGGGTAACCCTAAACCAAGCCCTTAGCTTGGAAAGAAGAAACCGGATTGAAGACATTTAGGGCCTGCAGGCACGAAACCCTAACGGAGCTAACGGTTCAAGGTTCAGGGTTTAGGGTTCCTGAACTCACAACCCTCAAAAAGGCGCGAAGGTCTGGCATTCCGGGTTGTTGGAGCCATGGTTTAGGGACAGTTGGATGCTCGGGGTACTGGTAGTGTTTAACAGTAAACACTATGCGGATGTTGTTCCAACTTTATGCCTAACGCGGGCCTACACCCTAAACCCTAAACCGCTATAGCTAACCGAAGCAGAACCTACTATTTGCTTAAGAACCCCCCAAAAAATAAAACGATATATTCCTTATGGGAGGTAATATAGGGATTATTATTTTTATTTTTTGGTGGTTTCTTAAGCAAATAGTAGGAACCCTTGCAAGCACACTTACCCTCAGACTCAGAGTAGCCGCCCAAAAGCCTTGTGTAGTATGTTCGCTGAGCCCCGAAACCTCCGAACGGGAGCCCTTAGAGATGTGGAGCTGGTAGGTTCATAGGAGTAGAGTGTAGGATTTAAGGATTCGTGATTCGGGCGATCAGTATTCAAGAATCAGCGGGGCTCCTAAAGCAAGTTTGTGGAGCGGAGTATCGATCTAGTGGCTGGAATTCCCCAGAGAGCCCAGTACCCTTAATCAAGGAGTATTGCTTAAATCATAATAGAAGGCCCCTTGTAGTTTAAGGCCCATTCCTAAATTAAGGGGTAAGTAAGGGGCTCTCTGGAATTCTGGGGCTTGAGAAATCCGAAAACTCCGAACCCTCAAAACCCTGGAGGCTCTGAACCTTATAGCACAACCTCATACGGTCGATGATATACATCCTGGGGTTCCTTTAAAGGGGCCTACAAGGGTACCTTTAAGGGCTCCTTTAGGGTTCTATAGGGTTTAGGGCTATTAGGGTGATGATATACATCCTGCATTACCTTGTTAATGACCCTAAACTATGGGAACCATGGTATGTTCCTTATTTGGGGTAATGCAGGATATATACCATCAACCGTAGTGCCTAACTCTTGTGGACGGCGACTTGACTTGGTTCTTGATGAGAGTCTGGCCTTCTGCCTGTCGGTGACACTGTGTCACCCACTGCCCAGTCAATTCGTCCACTAGCTCTTGCTAGACGAAACTTGGCCTGAGTGTCCATCCAAGTTGAGGAAGTCCCGGATGATATTCGAGTTCCTGGAGAACCTGCAGCGGCCTGACAGCCACTCGAAGGCCATGATGCCACAGGCCGCCACATCCGAGAGCCCACGGAAGCGAAACTGGAGCAGGGAGACCAAGTCTTCGTGAGTCTGACACGGCTGTCTCTCATACTGCTGATGGACAAAATCCTGCATGACCTTAAGCACCCGAAACTATGGGAACTATGGCATATTCCTTATAATGGGTAATGCAGGATTTTGTCCATCAACAGTAGCACTGGTGTGGAGCCTTTTCGAAGCTGTATGAACCCTAAACCGCACAAGCATTCTGTTTTGGATCCCCATCATCTCATGCAAAGATTCTAAATAGCATGGTCATTGATCTTTATGCGGAATGCCCAACCCCCAATCCTGTACCCTAAACCCCAAAGCCCTGGGCAAAGCCCAAATCCTACATCCTAAACGCTAAGCCGCAAATTCTAAACCCCAAACCCCTAAACCCTAACCTCTTAACCCCTAAACCTTAAACCCCTAACCCCTAAACCCTAACCCCTTAACCCCCAAACCTTAAACCCCTAACCCCTAAAAACCCAGTCACGAGAAACCAGATCTCAAGTTGATGATGCGGCGTGGGCGCATCAATGGGATGCATGTTCTGCATTATCCGGGCAACTCTATCCTCAGATTCAGACACGGCTTCAGGCCAGGGAAGGCTAGAAGCCAAGAGTTTATGAGTTCATCTGCAGTTTCATGAAGGGTGGATTATTGGTAGTAGTAGCCCGCCATGAACTTTTACAGCACTGTATGCAAAGTTGTTTTGTTTTGAGGGGGGGAGGAGGTAGGGACACTTCACAGGTGTTGCCTTAATTACACATGTGGGTAGTTGTCAAATGTAGGTAGTTGTCAAAATTATGGTCCCTTTTGGGGTACACTAAATATTTGGTGCCGTATTACACTTGGGACCCAAAAGGGACCCTAATTTTGACAACCACCCACACGTGTTTTGTGAGTGCATTGATAGGGTCCTGCTAAGGCTCGCTGCTCAACCAGGTTTCCAAGCAGCTCAGCTGAGCCTAAACCCGAAACCCCTAAGCCCTAAGTAGGGCCTATATGTGCGAACATCAAAATCTACAACGGCCGTCATAGCTGGAGCCGGTGTCAAAGCCGTGTCAGCTCGATTTACTATCCAGGTCTTTGTATTGTTTGATAGGCAGGCCCTCAGCAAAAGTGCCTTCAGAATGAGAAGAAGTCTTCGGGGTTTTATACGTACAGGCAAGAAGAAAATATGTAGGGGAACGGCGTGGATAACGTGACTCATTCTTCAGCTTCGTTAACATTTGAGTGAGGATCACGTGCAACTACCACGGTGGATGCTTCGAATGTCCCAGGTTTTGTTTCATAATCTACTATTTGCTTAAGAACCCCCCAAAAAATAAAAAATAATAATCCCTATATTACCCCCATAAGGAATATATTTTTTATTTTTTGGGGGTTCTTAAGCAAATAGTAGTAATGGTTCCCCGTAAGTAACAGGTCCCCAAAAAAGTATTAAAGCGTAGTACTCCAAAGCCCAGAAATGCAACCCGAAGATCAGAGTGAAACGCTTTTGAAAAATCCTGAATCTTCTAGTTCATGGTTGGGATAGGATTAAACATGCAGATTTTTATTCCTCACTGGGTCTAAGTACACATAAAAATCTGAAATGCTACCCGACAAAGGTATAGGGGTTTAGGGGTTTAGGGGTTAGGGGTTTGGGGGTTTAGGGTTCAGAGGTTTAGGGGTTTAGGGGTTTAGGGTTTAGGGTTCTTCTGCCCGGCATCGTCAAGTTTGTTGTCCTCCACAAAGTCCGAAATGTCCCTGCCGCAGACAGGACGTGCACAGGAACGGGATGCATGACGATGGGGCTTGGGGTTTAGGGTTTAGGGGTTAGGGGTTTAGAGCTTAGGGGTTTAGGGTTTGGGGTCCAGGGGTTTAGGGGTTTGGGGTTTAGTGGTTTAGGGCTTAGGGGTATGGGTCTTAGGGCTGACGGGCTCGGGATGTCGGCAGATGGCAGCACCAGTACTGTAACAAGTTGACAAGTATTCGAACAAGCAACAACATGTCCAACATAACTAGCAAGCAGAATACTTGAATTCTGAGATACAGAAGGTCGTTCAAAACACACGACGTATAGACCACTGTGCGAACATGCTTTTCCAACTGCAGAACAGGTGAGCAACAGCGACCATCATCAAGCTGCCACCTGAGCGAAGAAAGGCTAGAAAGACCTGGCGGTCGAAATCCCAGAACCACATACCTAAACCCTAAACCCTTAGCCTGAACCCTGCATATCGGAAGCATCGGGGGGTTCCTCAGCGAACCGTAGGGGCGACCTCTGATGCCCAGTTTCCTGTAAGTTCAGACAGATGCACTGCTCGACCCATTCTTCAACACTGAGATTTAATTAGGGTTCAGGGTTTAAAGTCTACGTCTCTGCGGTCACCGGTGATGAGGTTCGGTTGTCAGAGGGTAGTCGTTCTTGGTCATCGTCACCCGCTTCCGCATGGCTGCGTGTACGCCCAACACAGTGACTTCTCGGACAAGCTCTTGCTGGAACTCAAGAGCTGGATCAGATTTAAGGCCGTCGACTTGAGGAAATTCAAAGCCTTCCCCACGCGGAAGAAGCACAATAACAGCTGCCCTGCAAAGCCACATAAATTTCCTGAATTGCTTGCCCCCGCCTCCATTTAGGATTTTAGCCCAAACAGGCCAACAGGCCTATAAGCACCCCTATTATACAACCTTTGCAGGCAGTCCTTGTGCAACCCTTGATGGCAGGTCAAAATCCTGAACCCCTAAACCCTGAACCCAGCCCCTAAAACCTAGAACCCCAACACCCGAAAGACCACCACTGGGGCCTTGAGGGTTTAGGGTTTAGGATTTTGGAGGCTCTAGGTTTGAGAGAGTATTGGGGCATACAGGGCGGGGAGACTGACTCAAGCTTCAGCTCTACCATAAGCCCCGAAGCCCAAAGCCCTGAGTGCACTGTACAAGACAACACTTAGTCAAAGCCGAAGCCCTAAAGCCCGAGGAATGAGAAGCAATGAATAAACACCTTAAACCCCCACAACTCCTGGTGGTGTCTTAGGTGATGTCTTATATCTAGACTAAAGAGAGATCCTTCACAAAGTGAAGGGCCGTTGGGCTCTCCACCATAGCGGCAGGGTTTAGGGTTTAGGGTTTAAGGGTTTAGGGTTTAGGGTTTAGGGTTTAAGGGTTTAGGGTTTAGGGTTTAGGGTTTAGGGTTTAGGGTTTAGGGGTACTATTCACTACTTAAAGGATCATGGGACTTAGTGAATAGGTTATAACTGGGGTTATAAGTCCCCTAAGTGTGGTTATCCTAATGATGAACCACTTATAACCTGAATTACTAAGTCTAATGAGCCTTTAAGTATACATTCTCATTGTAGTAACTGAGCATATTGGCCTTCTTTGTCCAGTATCCTATGGCATTGCATAGGGCTTTACATGGGTTATAGCACCCAAGAAAAGCAAAAGACCACCTACGCACTCTACAACTAAGTAATACTCCCTAACGGATATCTAAACCCTAAGCCCTAAAACCCTAAAACCCTCAACCCAAACCCTAGATACCTAAACCCTAAACCCTCAAACTCTAAACCCTAAGCTCTAAACCCTTACACCCCAAAAGCATGTTCTGGCTTCTGGGCCTATAACAATAAAGTTGTAGGCTTCATAAAAGGAACCCTAACAAAGGCCCAAGGTGTCTTAATCCGGTTCTACACGATTACAATATCCTCAGATATTCCTTCGAGTAGCCCTTATAGACTATAGACCCCTTTAAAGGCACCCTGAAGCCTTCAAAGGACCCCTAGGAATCCCTATAGATCCCTTTAAAGGTTCCTACATTACCCTTAACCCTACTCTAATTTGTAAGGCCCCTATACTATCGTACCCTTCTAGATTCTAGATCCCTTATAGACCCCTTTAGGAATCCTTTAATTTTAGAACCCTGTTGTAGTCAAAGCCTTAAACCCTAATCCCTAAACCTCACTGGCCCAAAGCCCAAGGAAATAAAAGTTGAAACTTTCAGAATCGATTACCTTATAAGAGCCCCAAAAGTTGAAAAGTTGAGTTTACAGCCAATAAGAAACCGGCCTCCTGAGTTTCGTGAGCCGGGCATCAAACTCATCGCCGCCGTTTTCGCTCATCCAGCGGTCCTTAGCTGTCTCGCGGCTCTGGCTTTGGGTTTAGGGTCTAGGGGTTCCTTTAAGGGTTTAGGGTTCAGGGTTCCTTTAAGGGTTTAGGGTTTAAGGTTTGGGGTTTTCGGCTTCGGGATCCTTCAAGGGTTCCTTTAAGGGATCCTTTAAGGGGTCCTTGAAGGGGTTCCTTTAAGGGGTTCCTTTACAGGGTTGGTTCTTTTCCGGGTTCCATTAGGGGTTCCTTTAGTTCCTTTAAAGGGTTGGTTCTTTGAAGGGTTCCTTTAGGGGTTCCTTCAAAGGTTCCTTTAGGGGTTCCTTTAAAAGGGCCTAGGGTTTTCGGGTTGTGGATTTTAGGACTGACGCTTTCAGGTTTGAGGGCGTGTTAGGGCTTTAGGGTTCAGGGTTGAGGGTCCGCAACCGCTAAATGAAGAAGGGTCGTGGGGTCAGCGGTCTTACTTGAAGGCTCATGGGACTTAGTAAGTAAGGCTATAAGTGGCTTATAGTTAGGATAACCTAACTTGGGGACTTATAACCCCATTTATAACCTACTTACTAAGTCCCATGATCCTTTAAGTAGTGAACCCGAAATCCTCCAAACCCAACTGCTCAATTCTCCTGCTGCTCCGGATATATGGTATACGGTCTATACTCTGTAGCACAAAATAACCAGCACATAATACAGCTTTGCGTGTGTATGTATATAGTAAAGAGAATGTACAGTCTGTACTGTTTTTTGAGCCATTATAAGTACCCTAAACCCAAAACCCAAAACCCAAAACCCTAAACACTATAGGCATGTAGTGCTGCTGCGGCTCTGCGCGGCAGAGGCGTGCCGCGAGGCGCCCGGGTCTCACGGCATCGGCGCTTTCTTGAGCCACGGGCTGCGAACTTTGCATATCCATGTATGCTTAACCCTAAACCCCTAAACCCTAAACCCTAAACCGGGTTTAGGGTTTAAGGGAGGGGTCGGAGAGCGCGAGGGCGAATTTCAAAACCTGTATAAAATGAGCAAATCCTGGCTCTTTGCTCGGAACCGTTAACAGAAACTGGGCTTTGGAGTAACCAGGGAGAAAAAGCAAATGAACATTTGTCTCATAAGGGTTCCATTAAGGGACAGGTCCAAAACAAAACCGAAACTCTGGCACGCCAGAACCCAGAACAACACATCCGAGTTCCAGTGCCGGTTTGAAGATTCTAGATTCGGGTCTTATGGGTGGGGTTGTTTAGGGTTTAGGATTTACAGATGGTTTGTGGGGTTTAGGGTCGACACAAGCTCGATTCTGAGGCTAACGGGCATAGGGTGTATGCACATACTGTAAGATAGATATGGTATAGCGGACAGTAATAAGTGGAGTAGAGGCTAGCGGTAGATTGTGTTACAATTAGAACAGGGACTGTGAGGGGATGCGATTACTAAAGCCCCAACCCTAGATCCTAAACCCTAAACTAAACCCTAACCGTGGCTCTGTGATGCGATGACTAAAGTAGGGACACAAAAAGGTACCTAAACAAAAACCAAAAGGTTGGTATATCCCATAAACCCCTTTATAAACAAGGCAATGAGGTGGGGACATCCCGCCCAAAAGTTTATGTTTGGCTCCTTTTTGGAACCCTAGTAAAGCCCCAACCCTAGATCCTCGCTGCTGTGCATCGCTTGGGATGCAGGACAGGACGAGTATAGGGAATGAGGCCTTAAGCCACCGAAAAGCCCAGACCCGCAACTTAATCCACGAAACATGCCTTTTTAAAGCTCATAAACAAACATACACATGTGTTTATAAGGTTTTCATACAGGCACTGAACATGTAGTATTACTAGGGTTCCGACGTTGTCGTTCAGGCGCTGGGTATCTGCATTCAAGCTCTGTCTTCTTGTGTGCATGCGTTTGTGCAGTCGCCTGTGCATGCGGTCGGTATAAGGTGAAGAATCGTCTTATGGGTAGTTCGCTGAATTAGGGTCCCTTTATAAGTCCCTGTTTAGGTCCGCAAGATAATACGGCACCCTTACAAGGCGCACCCTAAACGGGACTCCAATAATCTAGAGAGCTACCTTTATTCTCGACGACTAAAATCGGATTCCCCTTTGTCCGGATCCGAATATTTTCGTTGCAGACCTCGGCAAAATGGTTCACAGTGTTGTCCTGAGCACCACGCCCAGGGTTTTGGGGACTCGAAAAAGCGTTCGTTCGCACTGTCGTTGATTCTTCATCTGGCCTTGTTTGCTTCAGCCCAACACCACTCGAAGCTACATGTGTGTTTCCGGCTTTCCAAACTACCCGTGGCACAATCTTTGCGAGCCGGCGAATTTCAATTGCGAAACGGCATTGTGCTGGACGGCTCAGGTGACTTCGTGGACCGGTGAACAGGGGGGTTCTGAATAGGATACTTAAGGCTCATGGGACTTAGTAAGTAAGGTCATTACAAGTAGGTTACAAATAGGATAACCCCACTTAGTGGACTTCCAACCCCAGTAATAACTTATAACCTACTTACTAAGTCCCATGATCCTCTAAGTAGCTCCACTTCGCATACCAACAACTCCAACCCAAAACCTGCCTACGAAGCCTCCTCACAGCTTCAGATATGCGGACACCCTACCTGAAGGACGAAAAGAACCCTAAAAGGGTTTAGAGTTCATATACCGGACAGGGATTCATGTTGTACTTGTATAGGGCCTCTGCTTTTAAGGATCATCTGGTCCTTAAGGTAATCAAATAATGTAGGTGCGATACTTGATAAGCAGGTCTTGTGGCGAGTGCGCCCAAGATAATTTGCTTGGCGCTGCGTCATAACTCTCTTGCCGAGCGTGCTTTAAAGCTCACCGATCCTGTAAGCAGAGCATCTCAGAGCTACTTAGCACTCTCGCCCGAAGCACGAAGAACCCGTGAAGGTGTGAAACCGCGGCCGGCTAAATCCTGCCTTAAGCTACCGTACCCTCTGTAGGCTCTTATAGAAAAAAGCCTCGCACGGAATTTGTGGGGACCCCACAATAAGTAGGGCTTTGTCTTTTAAGGTGAGTCCTGTACCACACCCCAGGAGTCTCAGTCTTGCCATCTCTAGGTCGGCCCTTTAAAGCCTCTGAACAGTATTCGTAAATAGGGTCCTATTAAGCCCAATAAGGGAAAATATAAAATGCCCCAAAGGCATACCTCGTATACCATGGCGTACCCTGCCAAAACCCACTCTTACCTGGCTCCTGAAGACTTTTCGACGAGGTTTTGATCTGAGGACCCTACCGCACAAACGGCTCTAGCATGTAAAGCTGTTTAAAGGTTTAGGGCTCAGGGCTTCAAGCGATCCCTTCTAGTGGGTCTTAGCCCCATACAGCAGGAAGCCCTGGTGATTGGAAACCTGAACCCTGCCTACTTCCACGATCCCTAGTACAGCAGGAATCAACAGGGCTCCCTTTGTGGCATTAGTATTGGGCGCTGCTAGAAGGAAGCTAAGGCCACAAAAATGGGGAAAGTGGCCCCCTGGGAGAAAGTTTGGAGTGTCAGAAGAGGCTCCACTGTTTCAAATTCTGCTCGGGAAATATTCTTGCTTCAAAGGTTCGAGAAAGGTTTAGGGGTTAAGAGCTCCTTTCAGGATATCTTCAACGGTTCTGCAAGGGGCTAGGGCTTAAGAGCTCCTGTCAGGATTTCTTCAGGGGTTTTCTTAAGGGTTTGGTCTCGGGCCCAGCTTGCGGGCTAAGATCGACGTAACTGCTGTTTAAAGGAAGCTAGAAGACGTGGATCGCGCCCTTTGTTGGATGACGTTGTCTATATCGGGGGTTTAGGGTTCAGGGATTTCGCGTCCTTCTGACAACAGCGCCATGTTCTCTAGACCACTCCCCCAAACCCTAAACCCTAAACACCCTGAGCCCAAAACTGCCCACATGGCTTCTAGCACGATTCGGAGCTCGACTTCAGCATCCAGGGCTTAGGACGTGGGGTATAGGGCCTATATAGATACTCCAACTACCATCGTTATACCCCAAACACCCACTATTAAGGATCCTGAGGGCTCTAGTAAACCCTCTATTGCTCCCACAAAAAACACTACAAAGGACCCTAAGGCTAGCTATAGGGACCCGTGAAGCTTCGGAAGTTCGGGTCTCGGGTCTGGAGTTTAGTGTTGCTCAAGATGGCTTGAAAGTCCCTACACTCGGCGATGCTATCGTTTAGGGTTTAGGGTTTGGGGTTTAGGGTTTATAAGGTTTAGGGTTTAGGTCTAGGATTTTAGGGTTTAGGTTTAGGGCTTAGGCCATGGCCCGCCGCATTCTTCCAGCGGGTGTGGATGTTGTCAGTCGTCCACGTAGAGGTTGCAGCACAGCTCTGCGTCCACGAACGTCGATCTTCAGCGGCTCATTGCTACCGATGCGTGGAGACCCGGATCTTGATAAGGGAGGAACTCGCGAAGCAGGTACAGGACCTTAGCTGCATGGCAGTGGCTAGCTTTTCGCCATTGCGATCATGGTTCTGGCTATGATTTTGGTGATCATGGTGGCATGTAAAGGCGAATATCATGACTCTTCTTGCTCTGAACACTTATGATGATCATATTTGAAGTAGATCAATCTTGATCTTATGGCCGTTAAGGAAAGGGGGTTTACTAATCCAGGCTTACATTGTTGTTTTGCTTTTTCCCTAAACCCTAAACCCTGAACCCTAAACCTGGCCGGTATCGTCATCCCTAGACCGCTCGACCACGCCTAGGGTTTAGCGCTTTGGGTGTGGATACACTTTAGGGTTTAGGGTTTAGGGTTTATTGTTTAGGCCTGTCCGTCCTCTCGGTACTGTTCTGAAAGACTTCTTGGGTTCAGGGATTAATCTAGGGGGCCATGTGGCAGGTTATACATTATATTGAATTCTACTGGCATGCTGTAAATAAATAGAGGATGGCAGGGGGTAGTACCATATGCTAATATTGCGACAGAACATTAATTGAGGTCCTGGAGACACCGGATTTCGCGAGGTGTGGCTTTGCAAGCATCTGCTTTCTTCTTTCCACCTGGGGCTACAGCATCCGAAGATTCCGGAAGTTAGATGGCGAAACCCATCCGAACACCCGGCGCAGACCTTTAAGCATCCTTGAACTACGTGTTTTGGGGGTTTAGGGGCTCCGGCACCCAAGCCGAAACCCAAAAGTCTGGGATGTAAGACCCTTCCATTCGGAGGCCTCACAAGGTGGGATGAAGGTAGGCGGGATTAAGGATCCCTTATATAAGGATTCTTATTTGGGAATATCCCAACTACCTTCATCCCACCTTTTGAGGCCTCCGAGTAAGACCCTTCCAAAAGACATGCAGCCACCAAGCGGCCCGAACCGGAAGCAGATCTCCACACCGACGTCGGGCTCTCGACCTCCGACCCTCGGGCCTGCGCTCAGCAGAGACCGGGATGAAATGGGGACTGAGATTTTGGGGATATGTATGGATATTAGTTAAACGATGACGGTACGTGGACTTCGAGGGATGCGGTGGACTATTGCGAGTTCTTCGGACCTCTATAACTTCGAGTTTGCGACAGCTGTCCATGGACCATTCGCAACTTGAGAAAATTCGCAATGCCCTTGGCCCATGCGTATGGTTGTGAAGGCCACAGGCCCGATCTGCAGAACCAAACCGCTCCCTGCATGTAAAGCCATAACAGTCTCTAAGCACTAAACCCTCAGTACGACTTGAACACTCAACAATCCTAATCCCTAATTCCGCATGTTTTAAACTCTAAACTTAAACCTTGACAAAAACCCAGGCACCAGAAACAAACTACCGAAACAAAACACTGGACGCTCAAACTTGAATCCCCAAATCCTTCATCATCACTTAATCTGGAGTCTCCTTCATTACGAGTCCATCGGTCACAAGTAGAAGGCCTCTATGCCGTGGGGACATAATCATCATT